TTCTACTGCTGCTTCTGCCACTGCCACTGCCACTGCCACTGCCACTGCCACTGCCACTGCCACTGCTGCAGCTACTACTACTGCTGCTACTACTCTACTACTACCACCACCACTACCACTACTTCTTCTTCTACTACCACTTCTCCTTCTTCCTCTACTGCTTCTACTACTCAACTACTGCTCCTCCTCCTCTTCCTCCTACTTTGAGGAAAGAGCTCTGGGGACAGTATGCCAAGCGAGCCGAGGCCGACTGATTGCATCTAGTCGATCAATGAAATCCCAGTTGTGGCTCTTATCGCAGGAGCTGCTGATCACCATGCCGCTGGATCGCATTCTGCGGGTGCTCAAGGCCTTCGTGCTCGCAAGATTTCGTGGGCTTCCCAGCTTGCAGAATTCAGTTGAGAGTGCAGCGGCCAGTGATGCCAACCAGGAGTCCAGGAAGCCCATTCCTGAATGCGAACTGAGGTAGCGCGGACTTGTTGAATCGAATAGGCTCTGAGCTCGCCAGGGAGGCCAGGTGGAAGCTGCCCCATCCACAGTCGGGTTTTAAAGGGCCGAGAGCATGGTCAGGTGAAAAGTGCCTCCTCGACACGGCTTTGCCAAGTCTTTCACTGGTCTCTTGGAGTGCAAGCGCAGACCTGCAGATGTCAACCTGCAGGGCGAAAGCTTCGGACGGTAGCTTGCAGATTGAGAACTGATCCATCCCTCCACGGCCGTGGCGAACCAAAGGATCGCAAGGGCCGGGCTACGAGATCAATCGTTGATGTGCCTCATGGGCAACGAGGCCGGACATGCCAGATATGAGTGAACTGAGTGAAGGCTTATAACGTCACGCCTGGAAATTGTGGCGAGGCACTATTCCGCCTGTCAGATGACTTCGTCCTGGACATGTATGTCGAAGTGATGAACGTGCATGCTAGGCTTGGTCTTGAGACAAACTGGAAGCGACGTTTGTCTCTGGACCTTTGAGGCTTGACGTTCGCAATCCAAGACTGGTTGGTGCAGCTTGGCCGTTCTGGGTCAGACCAAACGCTCGTGAGTCAAGGAGTTTTGATCCGTCTCAGGCAATTCTGCGGGAAATGGCTCCCTTCTTTAGAGAGCTGAGTGGCAGTCTCGGGAGGCATGTTCTTTTGCCGCGTGCCGCGTCAAAGCCGCCTCTGAGGCAAAGATCAGTGCACGGCTGTGATCCCGCTGACAGTGATGTCCGTCTTCTCCGATGAGGCTAAGCCCTCACCCGGAGAAGGGCCCAAAGTGAGTTGGTCGGTGGACTAGGCTCGTGTGGCATACCTCTCGCGATGTGCCGAGCTCAACATGGGGCTACCAGCAGGCAACTCAGGAAAGAAACCTCTCTGCCTCGCACCCTGCTCGCATCTGCCGGTCGCACTACAATAGATTTGCCAGGTTCGTATGACGAAGCCAGATGTTCTCAGACAGTCACAGCCATAGAATGCCTTTGTAACTCTGACGAGCCTTTCCCGATTTTTCAGAGACCCTCCGAGGTTTCGGCTGTTGGAGGATTGCCTTCGCTTGGATTATCATCCGACGGTGCACCTCTCAAAGCCGTGGGGATCCCGCTGGGAGCCACTGGAAAGAGACCGGGAAGCCACTTTGAAGGTGCTGCCGGCCCAAGTCCAGCTCTGGCTGCAAAACCTGAAGGCAGAGAGCGAGGCGATCCGATCTCACCTCCTTGGTTTTCGTATGTTCTCGTTTGGAGGTTCCGTAGAGCTGAGGCCCATGATGCAATTGTCCCAACGCCTTTGTCGGATGTGGAGCAGGCGCGATGGGCTCGGCCCCGTGGCCAGGTTTCGGACGTAGGAGTGTGCGAAACTTGAATGGAGGACATCTTGCGGGTCCTTGAGCAGGAGCTTGATGTGGTGACTTGGCCGCTCTGGCAATCCGCCTCGAGGGTTTTGGCAGTTCGTTGCCATGAGACCCGTTGAGGCCGTCACACCGATCTTGCAGGTCGGCGGCTTCTCTTCAGGAAGTCCTGGTTGTGATATGCTGGAAGCCCTGCTAGGACTCCGTGCTGACCCTCCACCTGGTGTTGGGCAAGACGGTTCTGCAGGTCATGGATGCCTACGATGACTATTATGCTGCTTGCTCAGGGAGTGCTTTCAGCGGGTCTTTGATCTTTGCAGCTGCTGCCTGATGCTCCGAAGGTTACACCCGCCATGGGGGGACAGCGCCTCGTGCGCGCAGCCTGGCCCTCAGATGTTGCTGCCAGCTGGGGCAACGCTGACAGACTAAGAAGGCCTGCATACGAGCACGTTGCGAGGAGACGAAGCTGCTGCAGCGTCTGATTTGGCGCCGGGGCTGGAGACTTCTGACCCTCGACGCTGAGGAGTCCGGGTCCAAGGTGTTTAGGTGCCAGTGCTGCGGTCCGATGTTTACCGCGCCAGCCTGTAGCACCGCTTGCGTCGCCGGAACGACACAGACTTGCAGCGGGCCTGGCAAGGTGGAAAAAACTCACAGACGACATCTACAAGAAGGACCCGGCCCATCGCCCCTGCTCGGCGGCGGAGCTTCCTCCGGGATGCCCGTCGGAAGGTAGAGCGGAAAACCATCCAAGAACTGCTTTCAACAGTCAGATGGACTTGGGAGCTTCGCGTGTGCTCTGGCAGGACCTGCTGGAAGAGCTCTTGATCCACGGACAGCACGACTCTAAGCATGCCAAGTATTTCTGATAGAATATATACATGTCTATCTACAAGTACACAACAGGTCTGAATGGAGCTGCTACTACTAGAGCTGCTGCATCCACTGCTGGACCCCTGCCATTTCTGCTCCTGCTCCGCCTCCTCCTCCTCCTCCTACTGATGCTGCTGCTACTACGACTACGACGACGACGACTACTAGTACTCCTACTACCACTGCAACTACTGCAATTACAACAGCAACAACAACTACTACTGCTGCTGCTGCTGCTACTACTACTACTACTACTGCTACTGCTACAACTACAACTACTACCACTACTGCTACTACCGCTCGACCGCTACCTAACGCTGCGACCGTGTCACTACTACCACTACCACTACTACTGCTGCTGCTGCTGCTGCTCCTACTACTACTACTACCACCACGACTACTACTACTACTACTACTACTACAACTACTACTACAACTACTACTATTACTACTACTACTACT